GAAGCCTTATAATCAAGCCTGCCATTACAGGAACTAGGTGTTAAGTATGTGTATGTTTGTGGGGTGGTGCTATGGATGGTAAGACCTTAGTTTGCACTTCATATGGCTAAATTTGCTTTGCTTTTCGTATTAAGTCTCTTAGAGTTTGTGTGTGTGTATATATTATGTGTGTGTATTGTATATATATGAGGCTTTGTTTTTTTAGAGCAGTTTTAGGTTCACATCAAAATTGAGAGGAAGGTACAGAGATTTCCCTTATGCCCCCTGCCCTCACATGTGCAAAGCCTCCCCCATTATCAACATCCCTCACCAGAGGGTACACTTGTTACAGTTCATGAATCTACAGTGATGCATCATAATCACCCAAAGTCCATAGTTTACTTTAGGATTCACTCTTGGTTTTGTACATTCTATGGATTTGGAGAAATGTATAATGACGTGTATCCATCATTATAGTATCATACAGAGTATTTTCACTCCCCTAAAATTCCTCTGTGCTCCACCTATTCATCCCTTACCCTACTCCTAACCCCTGGCAACCACTGATTTTTACTGTCTCCATGGTTTTGCCTTTTCCAAAATGTCATAGAGTTGGAATCATACAGTATATATAGCCTTTCGGCTTGGCTTTTTTCAGTTAGTAATATGCATTTAAGCTTTCTCTATGTCTTTTCATGGCTTGAAAGCTCATTTCTCTTAGCACTGAATAATATTCCATTGTCTGGATTTACCACTGTTTATTTATCCATTCACCTACCAAAGGACATCTTGGTTGCTTCCAAGTGTTAGCAGTTATGAATAAAGCTGCTATAAACATGTTTTTGTGTGGCCATAAGTTTTCAGCTCCTTTGGGTAAAGACCAAGGAGTGTGATTAGTGGATCGTATGGTAAGAATGTGTTTGATTTTTCAAGAAACTGCCAAACTGTTTTCCAAAGTGACAGTACCATTTTTCACTCCCACCAGCAATGAATGAGAGTTCCTGTTGCTCTACATCCGGGTCAGTATTTGGCGTTGTCAGTGTTCTGGATTTTGGACACTCTAATAGATGTACACTGGTGTATCTCATTGTTGTTCTTTTATATATTAAATTTTGCTACTCTTTTTTAGCCAGCTGTTTTCTGAAAGTATACTAGTATTCTTTTGTTCAGTTTTGAATATGTCAGATGATTGAAGTAGTCTTGGCAGCTATAAGTTATTCTAATTATATTAACTTCTAAAAAACAAAATTCAAATACTGAGTTTAAGACTTGAGCATATTTTTATCAAATCATCAGTGAAGGTTAAATAAATGAGTACTGGTGATGCCTACCTGCACCAAAGGTAATGTCAATAAGATGGGACTCTATTTTTGAATTCTTTTACATTTTAGTCTTAAGGGATTCTGAGACTTTTCTTCACTTTTTGAATTTAAATGTTTCTTTAAATTTTCTTTGAGTTTTGGCACAGTGTGCTGTGTTAAGAGAGTGCTTGCTATTGATGGCTTAGGACTGTGCTCTCAAGTAGCATTTCTCCATCTTATATATTTATTATTATTTTTAGTAGTCCCCAAACTCATGATGGTGTTAAGACAGATTTGATCCAGGGGTTTGTCTGTTATCATTACCAATTTGTGATCAATTCTCCTTCAGATAATGGCAGTTCATCTTTGTGGACTTTCTTCGTATATCTCCAAAACATTCTTGAACTCTGATTCCTGCTTATATTCTAGATTCTGCCTCTCTGGGTTATGAAACCTGTTTGCAGAGTGAATTTAGCCCAATTCTTCTTTCCACTTCTTTTAAATGGTTGTCTTTTGTGTTCTATCTCCTAGTGCTATAATGTCTTACATTGATGCCTGAAGGGAAAATACTTGTTTCCTTTATTCCTCACTCTAATTTCCATACTTCTGGCCACCAAATGTATGTGATTTTCCCATACCAAACAATTCTCCAGTTCTCTGTGGACACCAACTGAATGTCCTACAATTCAATTCTGACACTGTCTACCTGGAGTTAACCCCAGATCCCACCAGTTAAGAGCTTGGTACCACAAGACTGAGATGCCACTTCAGATGCTAATTGCAAGTCTAGGTTGTCACCTGTGTTCTGACCTACTGGCTATAAATCAGAGGTTCCCATGACCCCCTTCTCGATAATTGGCTAGAATGGCTCACAGAACTCAGGAAAGCAGTTTACTTACTAGATTACCAGTTTATTATAGAAACATACAACTCAGAAACAGCCAGATGGAAGAGATCCATAGGGAAAGGTATGTGGGAAGGGGCTGAGAGCTTCCATGTCCTCTCTAGGCATGCCACCCTATCAGCGTCTCCACATATTCACTAACCCAGAAGCCATTCAAACCCCTTAATTTAGGGTTTTTTATGGAGGCTTCATTACATAGGTGTGATTGATTGGCCATTGATGATTGAATTCAATCTCCAGCCGTTCGACCTTCCCTGGACTTTGGAGATGAGGCTGGAAATTCCAACCCTCTAATCACGTGGTTGGTTTCTTTGGCAACCAGCCCTCATCTGGAGGCTCTACAGGAACCACCGGTCATGTCGTTAACATGCAGAAAGGAATTTTGTATGTTATCATACAGAGAGGAAGATTGTCCCTGAACTAACATCTGTGCCAATTTTCCTCTATTTTGTTTGTGGGACACTGCCACAGCATAGCTTGATGAGTGGTGTATAGGTCCACGCCTGGGATCTGAATCTGCAAACCCTGGGCCACCGAAGCAGAGTGTGCAAATTTAACCACTACACCACTGGGCCGGCCCCTTTAAATATATTTCTTTAATGTAGTCATACTAAAGATCCCTCAGCATTTGCTTAAATAAAGATTTCAAGAGTGGAGCATTTTAAGTAATTAAATGAAAAAGATTAAGGGAGACCATGGTATGCTTTGCTGAATTAGGGGTTAAGATCACTGGAGTTGAAAATGTCTCTGAACCAGAAGACAAACGGTTTCAGTGATGGTGGGAAATAATTGGGATGTTTATCAATGGCTAAGATCAGTACAGTGATTTGGCTGCTTGGATTGAGCCAGACCAGAGTGGTTTTTGTATGAGAGCGGAAGACTAATTATTAGAAATGGCCATGGAATGCAGTAGACATGGTGAGTTCCTACCTAGTACTGAGAAACCTGGGGCCTGAGAGAATTCTGATCAGATTTTATTTGAAAGAGTTCCAAGATAGACTGTATCTTTGAGGGAGAGCAAGGTTTCGGTTAAAGTTAGGAGTATTGTGAAAAATGTTAGGGTGGAGGAAAGTACCCGCACTCCCGGTTTCTATGATAGAATGCTGTCCCCTTCTTGATAGTTAATGCAGGGCTGCTGCATCTTCCTTTGCCCATCTCTTAAACATTGGTGTTCACTACCATCCAGGTTTTGTTCTCATCTCTTCTGACTATACTGGTTAACATTGGGTGATTTCATTCATTGTCATAGTTTCAGATTTGTTATTTCCCTTTCTCATAGCTTTTATGGATTTGTATGTATTATTATTTACCCTGCTTATTCCATCTTTCTCCACTGTCTTCCGCCTGGCAAAATTCTATTAGTCCTTCAAGGCTCAGCCTTTCATTTGATTTCAGATCTAATTTCAGTTATCCAGCTGCCTCTACCCTCCTGCCAAGTTTTCCATCTAGGTTAGGAGCAATCTGTGTTCCCTAAATTCTGTGTGCATACCATCACCATAATGCTTACTATTTTAACTATTGGTTTTCTTGTTTGCCATCTCCCCTAAACTGAGTTCCTTGAGGGCAAAGGCTGTAGTTTTCTAAATCCTGTTCTTCTCAGTATTTAGCAAAATACTTAGGATTGATAAATATTTGAGTTAATAAGTTATTAATTATATTATCTACTTTGTATATATTCCCAGAGAAGAGAAGGTGCTAATGTTAATAAACCTTAAAAGTCTGTTTACTCTTACCAGTCATTAAAGAAATGACAGTTAAATAATAAGGTAGTGCTTTCAAGAAGTAGTATAGCATAGTGGTTAACAGCATGAATTCTAGAGCAAGAAGGCTGCTTTGATTTGAACTCCACTTCCGCCACTCACATGATGAATGATCTTTGGCAAGTCCTTTGATCTTTCTGTGTTTCATTTTCCTAATATGTAATTGTACCTATTTCATGTCTGACAATAAGTATTACATAAGTATTCATTATTATTGTTTTACATTTTAAAAATTGGTTCAATATATCTGGGTTAGAGTAAGACAGCATCATATATATACTGGTGATAGAAATTTAACTTTGTATAGTGTTTTATATAATGAACATTTTCTACTCTTTGTGTCTTTTGATCAAATAATTTTATTTTTAATAATCTCTTAATAAAATTTGAAATGCAGATTCATATGTTCCAGAATTATTTATAATAGTTTACAAACAACTTAAGTCTCTAGTGAGAGGGGAATGGTTAAATATATTATTGAATATATTTAACCATTCTAATTTAACCATTTTAATTAACAATTAAAATATTCGTGTTTTAATGGCACGGAAAAAGGTTATGATGCAATAGGTATCAAAGACAAAACATTCTCTTAAATATGTTTTAAAAAATGCTTAAGAAGGAAATGTTAAGATACTAACTTGTGATTGCTGTTGGGTGGTGGGATTTACCCTCTTGGAGATTAATTTTTATTTTTAAAATGGGATCAACAACTGACATGCTGGTATTAATTGCTGACAATTAAATGAGGTAATTTGAAAGACAAGTTCTTTGGATGTCTTGTATTTTTATTAAGTCACATTGTAATTCATTGTGCATCTTTCATATTTTTATTATGAAGTCATCCTTGTATTAAAGAAGTAAAACGTTGTGTTTTCTTAAATATTGTCTCTACATTATATTTTAACATAGGCTCTTCCAGCTCTTTTTGCATGTGGGTTTTGCTATTAGTGCCCAGTTTCCTAGAAGTCATTTTCCAAATATAAAGTTATTTTATGATTGTAGTGATGCCATTGTGGTTTGGTTTAGGCTTTCTTTTTTCTCTTTTATCTACAGCAACTGGAACAGATCCAGAAGGAGCTAAGTGTTTTGGAAGAGGATATTAAAAGAGTGGAAGTAAGATATCAAGAATTTCTCACATCTCTAGCAATTTTTCAATTTCGTGAAATTGTCACTTTTCCTTTAAATTGCTACATTAAATTTATGAGCTTGATCTTTGTTATTTAGAAAGTGACAGATGTTACTTTGATTTTAATTGAGAGTACATTTTTGTAGACAAAACTTCCTGAACACTTTCTTAACGATAAAGTGTATTCTAAATTTGTTTTCACAGTGTTTTATTGCCATAATTATTCTTGGGTAGCTTGAAAAAAAATCATTCAGTTTTCTTGGTTTGCCATCATATTAGCTTAAATCAACTCCCACAAAACCCTCAATTATTACTATTAAAGTAATATGTCACAATTTTGTTCTTTTATTAAGTAACTTTTTACATATCTACTGTACATTCCTAGGTGCTAAGGCTAATTTAAAAAGAGATATGAGAATACATTACCAATTATCTAGGAATTTATAATATAGTATAGTCTATTTACAGAAATCTATTGGAGGATCTTTGAGAGGCTCATAGGCTGTTATGATGTGAGGTTATTGTCTTCAGGTATATTTAAATTTAGTGTTTGTTTTTAGTTATTCACATGTTATAATTTTCTTTTGCTGGTAACATAGAACATATTAAATGATCCTGAGTTTAATATTTAGTGGAAGTTCAGTATCCCATGTGGCATTCCTAACTCATTACTACTATATTTATGTCCCTTGCTTGGCTGTATGATTCAACTAAGCTTGGATTAGTCAAATTAATTCTGCTTGATTATGTATCTTTAGTGGCAGTTTAAAATTTGCTGTTTTTTCATTAATTAAAATGTAGAACATAAAAAAGAGGCCAGGTTAGTATGATTCAGAGGCGTAATTTATGCAGTAAAAGTTGATTAGGAGGCCTTTTTCTCTAGGTTAATGATCAAAAGTTAGAATTTAAGTCATTATTAAATAAAGCTAATATTTGAATCAAGAGGAATGTTACCTTTCTTAATATTTGCAGAGGATATTTTTAAAGCAGAGACTGACATCTTCTGTTCTTCTGTACTTTAGAGAATTGAACCTAATGATTCAGTTACCATACTGTCATATTTATCTTATTTATTCACAGGTTCTCACCTGGATTAATGATGAGCTAGTTTACTGTTCTCATAGTGTACTATACATATTATTTAAAATATTTACATTTGTCTTTTTCTGTGTTGGTGGCTTCATTAGAGATGAACAATATTTATTAAAGAGTTTCTAGTTCTTTAAGATTGTGTTCCATAGAAAAGCCTTATTTCTTAACTTTTTAGATATCCTTGCTTTTATACTCTGGTGAGGAAGCCTTGAGAAATTTGGATATTGAGACAAAAAGGGTTTGATAAAAATCTGGGAATGGAAAGGAATATAATATCATAGCTCTTCTTGACTTACACATCTTCTGTTTGGAGTATCTCCTGTAACTCAAATAATTGTGTTTTCAGGAAATGAGTGGCTTATACTCTCCTGTCAGTGAGGATAGCACAGTGCCTCAATTTGAAGCTCCTTCTCCATCACACAGGTACAAAGCTCCAAACTTTGCTTGTTTCTTATAAATCCTAATTGCTTAGGATTTATATTAGAAAGTACACATATGGTACTCGTCCTTGGGAGCCTCTTCCATGTAATGTACAAAACCTCTGAGAAATTACTTTTGGTCATGATCTAGAAATGAGATTCAGATGGCCCATCTGTTTTCTTAGTGCTTTGAATTTTCATGCCAGGAACAGTCACTGAGTAGAATATTGTAATATTATGAATTCACTGTTGGATTAAAAGTTTGGTGGATTTCTTGAAATAATGATAGCTTAAATATCTTGTGAATTAAAATCAGATGACATTAAAAATCTATAATTTGAGAATATGAAATGATAATATTGGGGAAAAATTTGATCAAGTAAAACCTTGGGCTTTTCCCATAATTTGTTAAATTTTTTTGGGCAGATTACTTTCCACAGATTTAAAATGAAGGCATTAGATAGATCTGTTAGTTTAGATCTCCCTGGTGTCTTCTGATGACTCCCTGTTATTAGTTTAGTTGTCTTCCCTTCTAAATGCTCTGTTAGAGCAAGGATTATATTGTGTTGCTCATGACTGTTTCCCTAGGTTTTGGAGTAGTAGTAGTGGTGACTGGCCTCATTCAGTATTTGTGAAATAGAGTGAATGTCTGTGGTTTCTTCTAAAGTTCTGTTTGATGAACTATGTACTACCTAAAATTTGAATTTGAACTTTTTTGCTTGAATTCATCAAAGTAAGAGCAGTTTTACATGTTTTAATTTGCTAATCCATTTAGGATAATGGTCCAGTGGAAACTTTTCAGACAAATAGTTTTAGGATAACATGGATTAACAAGCAGTCTAATGCCGGTACTAAAGATTACAGTATCTTTCAGTGTCAGTTCAGGAAAGCAACTGTGGGTCTAGTTTGGTACGATATGTGGGGAAAGGAGCACAGGGGATGTTCTAGTTAAAAAGCATTCTTGAGATGTTTCATATTTTTCCCATTAACCATTTTATGGAGAATTCTTATGAGTTCTAGTTGATTCTGGGGTCACTTTAGCTGTGTAATTCAGCTTGTTTCCCTCCATATTTTCGTTAACACACTTGGGAGTGACTCAGTCTGTGGGTTATTGTTATCTCTAAGCTAGTTTTACTTCTGATATACATGGGATCTTTGTCACCGGAATATTTATTATGTGAGTGCATGCAGGCAAGCAAAAGTTGTCATATCACAAGATATTTACTAATAAACTGACAATTCCCCTTGTCATATCCTTCTCTGTTTAATAGTAACATTTCTTTCTCTCTATTGTGTCCAAGTCTTTGTTATTCATTCTCTCACTGATGGCTGTTATTAACATGTGACAATATAGTCATTATATTCATTTAACTGGCTCTATTTGTTGAATGCCTCTGATGTTCTAGGCACTGTTCTAGGTGTTGAATCTAGCTGGCAAAGTCCCTGCCCTTGTGGAGCTTACCTTTTGGGGGGGTGTATATGTGGAGGTTGAGGGAGATACTAAATAAGCAAATATATAATGTAGTAGTAGTACATAACATGTAAGTAGTACCTTAGGAAGAAAAATTAGGCATACTAGGGGTTTGCAAGAAGATTCTATTTTAGTTTGGATAGGCAGGCTTCTCCAAGGAGGTGACATTTAAGCTGACATATGAATGAAGTGAAGTGTAAATATGACAGAAAGTCATGGGAGAGTTTTGAGCATGGTCTGATTGAGATTTTAAAATGTTTTCTGGGGTTCCCATGTGGAGGACAGAGAAGAGACTGTCTGTGTTCTTCCAAACCCCCTGCTGTTGAAGCTGGGAGGAAAGTTGGGAAGCATTGCAATAGTCCAGAAGAGAGGAGATGATGGCTTGGGTTAGGATTTTATTGGTGGAAGAGACGAGAAGTGGTTGTATTGTAAAATAAAGTAGCAGATCTTGTAAAAGATATAGGATTTCATGAAGTCTATGAAAATGTTGTTGGAAAATTACGAAAATCATTTGTAAAGCTGTCGTCAAATGAGTTTCTGGCAGTTAGATTGGTTAACAGTTGAAGGGAAAATAGGCAAACGTGATATTTTCTTCAAAAGAGTGTTTTGATATTTTCTTAAAACAAGTAATTTGAATATCACTCAAGGTTTGAGAGATACACTTGGGAAAAATGATGTAGCCCTTAAATACTCTTGGAAAATGACCCTTAAGATTAAGATGTGAAATTAAAGATGCTGGGAAGAATGTTATGTTATACTACCAGTGTTTGATTTTTCTTTGTTTTTAAGAAATAGCATGTGGTTACGATTATAATAACTTTTCCTCCCCATAATTATTAGCTTCGTTATTTAAATGCGAGACAGTTTTTTTTTTTTTTTTTTTTGGTGAAGAAGATCAGCCCTCTGCTAACATCTGCCATCCTCCTCTTTTTTTTGCTGAGGAACACTGGTCCTGGGCTAACATCCGTGCCCCTCTTCCTCCACTTTATATGGGATGCTGCCACAGCATGGCTTGCCAAGCGGTGCGCGCCCGGGATCTGAACTGGCGAACCCAGGGCCGCTGCAGTGGAGCACACGCACTTAACCGCTTGCACCCTGGGCCAGCCCCATGCGAGACAGTTTTTGTTTTTATTCCTTACTGTAACATTTTGATCTCTCTTTTAAACAAGTTTACTTCACAAAGGCTTTTTGTAGACTCGTGCATTTTTTTCCTATAATGAGGACTTTCTTTATATGTCAGGTCATTGAATCTGTTACATAGGTTCTGGGTTTATGATTAGATTATGTATTTAAATAAAAAGAAAAACAAAAGACAAATGGTGATATTCTTGCCCCTCCCCCCCATTCTGTCTTCCATCTACTATGCTAAGCTGTAGTTATCATATCTTGTCTGTTCTCTTCCTGCTGCCTTGTTTAGACCGGTCAGTATCACATGGAGTCTAGCAGTGGTCTTTTAACTATCCTCCTATACTGTGTTGCCAGAAATCTGATTGTGTTTCTTTCCTGCTTAAAATCTTTCTGTTGGCTTTTCATTGCTTGTAAATTGGTTTACATCTCCCTTTTTTGCACGGCCTTCCATAATCACCTGTACCCTGTCTACTATTTTTGTGCTTTAGAATTGAATTTGACTCCCAAAACAGGATGTTAGGGTACCTTTGCTTAAACTGTTCCTTTTGCCTGGGAACTTCTTCTGGATTCATCTCTTAAGTAGCTTCTCCCCAAGGTTAGATGATTACAAACATATCTTAAGAAACTCTGCTACGCCTGCATCGAGGACTTCTGAACATAAATTATGTTTTGCTGTATTTTAATGAAGTTTATCTGTGGGAGAAGTAGTTAAACCAGTTGATTGTTTTATTGTTGGGAGTACAAGGGTTACTGGCCTTAACTCTGACTCTGTACCTTGCACAGGAGTTGATCCCATAGGTGATGGAGGATGTTAAAGAATCTTACGGAATTTTAAACATAAACTAAAACAAAAAGAAACACAAACACAGAACACGAACTTCCTTGGCAATAATATAGAGGGTACTTGCATATGTCTGTAATTTCTCATTGAATTGATAGGTAATAGAAATGTAGCAAGTTATGAAAACCTTTTTTGAAATAGTACAATTTCCTTTATTTAGAATATTTGAAGGATTTACTCTTCAGTCAGTCAGTTTTTGGAGTGTATCGGACATGTAGAAAACACTATTTTAGGCGCTGGGGATACAGTTGTAAATATGACAGACCCTAGAGTCCTGCTGTCATGGCTACATAGCCTTAGAATGGAAAATAAGTTATGCTGGCGAATTAATTATTCTGCTTAAAATATGGTGTAAATAGACTTTTTGCTTCTGAGAATTAAAATCATGAAAATACGTTTAACTCTAAAACTTTAGTAATTATATTTGATTAGTAGGCATTTCAGGATTTTTAAAAAACACCTTTGGATTCTTGTTACAAACTGTAATTGTCTCTGCTTGATGAAGATGTTAACAGTCTATTCCAATTCTGAAGTCTGAGATGTGGATAGGCCAAATTTCAGTGTGCTTGAGTATCAACCAAGACTTTTGTTTGAAATGCAAATTTTTGAACCCTATCACCAAATCTAATCGTGAGGGTCTGAGGTGGTCTAGAGATTCAGATGCATACCTGGGGGATCATACTTGAAAAATATGTAAACACTGGTTTGGTAGATAGTGAATATGTTTGTGATAGTGAATATGTCTGTATTACTGACATGTCTTGAAATAAATCTCTACATCAGATATGCTTATTTTCTTTTTCATAAAAGAAAGCTCAAATATTCAGCACTAGAGTTTTATAACTGTCTTAGCTTATTTCATGTTTTGGTGAGAATGGGGTAAAATTTCTGTTTATTTTACTCTCTACTCTGTAAAGTTACATATCTATCTGTAATGTCTTAAAAACACCTCAAATCAAGTTCCTGGGCTGGGGAGAGCCAGAAAAGTTAAAAATAAAATTAAGTCTCTAGGAAGAAAGCAAACTATTGGTATTTAGCAGCCATTCCCTATTGATTCCATTCATATTCTGTGATTAGATTCTCTTGCTTGTGGCTTTTTGCTCTTTCAGGTTAGAGTCATACGGAAACTTTTCACCCCTTTGATTGTTATAGGTGTACCTTGATTCCGGGAGGTCAGGGATGGGAGAGGCTGGGAAAACCAAAGCTATGTACACATGGTAGCCCTGGCCGGGATATGAGGATAACTGAGTATGAGCGTAAAACTTCATGTGCTGTTAACCATTTTCCATTTCTGCTACTTACTGTCTCTCCTCTACCTAAGTCCCAGCATATTTTCCCCATTCTCCAGACCCTCTACCTTTGAATCTCTTGTTGTTGTTTTTGGAATGCTTCCTCTACTTTCTTTGCTTTTAAAGCCTTTTTCTGAGGTTATTTCAGATAACTGGGTTTTTATAACACTAAGATTTGTAGCAGCTATATCATCTAATAATTAAAAACTTCTTCTCTGTGAATTATAACTGAATTGTAATCTATTCCCAGTTATTGGAAAGTGGTAGTAGAATAT